CAATATTCGGAGTATGACACACAGACATTTCCACCCATTTTTTTTTGGGGGGGGGTGCCTCTTATATTCCAAAAAATACAGTAAATTGGCCACGATGTGATGGCCTTGGCCAGAGCCAATTGTCCCATTCCAAGGACAAGGAATGATGTTCTCTGTGCAGTGCTACTCACCTAGCTCGAAGATCTGAAGAGGAAGGGTGAGGAAGCCAGATCGAGGGGTGTAAGGGTTATTCTGGCCGGGAGCAGTGCACACATCGTCTGAAGGGGGAAGAAGCAGAAGGAAGGAGACCTGTCGTCCAAAGTCCAGAACTTCCTGACTGTACAGGCGGAAATCTTTGGCCTGCAGAATTTAAACACAAATTAAACAAATTACGTGGGGGTCAGAGTTGGCTTGCTGTCAGGGTTCCAACGAATGCCCTAATTAAACCATGAGCCTCAAGCCAAGCTTCAAAAGAAATCCAATTATTTATTAGGAGCAACCTGTCCACACTTACCCAAGTGAAGCCAACTCTTGACCCCACGTAATTTATGGCCCAATTATGACGCTCTTTTCCACCTCCCCCCAGAATGTGTCATAAATCACATTCTCCAACGGAGCACTTTTGCGGGCTGTAGAGATCACTCCTCTCCAGCTACTGTGGGTAACCTTGGAGACAGCCTTGAGAAAGATATGCCTGGAATGTGCTTCTGTTTGTGGCTGCCATGCTGCGTGGTCAGTTTCCCATCCCCCTTGCCTATGGCAACTCGAGAGCAGGCCAGGGATGCTTCGCGAATTGACAAAAATGTTTTATTGGTATGAAGTCTTACATTGTTACTGACTTTCTCCAAGCTCCTAGCTGAAGAGGTATGGACTCTACAAAGAAATAAGAAAGGGGACCTCTCCTTGAAGCACCAACATCCGCAATTCCCATATTTTATTGCACTCATATTCTCCCTCTTCTTTGAACAGTAATTCTGTCCTCACAGCCATTCTTTGATGCTAAAATATTGGCCCAAAGTTACTCCATCACATAAGGCCAAGTGAGGAACTGAATCTGAACCTCCTAAGTCCATGTTTGATCGGTTAATCAATGGCACTGAAGGAAAGAGGATCCTTAAAGATCTTTTCACATTAAAAAAAGAAAACTAGTTTGTAAAATGAAGACTTGTAAAGTGAATCAGGTGGCTTTGCTCCATTTAACTCCCATCCATTCAGCTACTGCCAAAATCACCATTGTCTGCTCTCTTGGGCAGCTTATATCGAGATGGTTTATGATGACCAGAATGTCTCAGAAAGATGTTTTGAACTTTCCCCTTGTTACACAGGCTTCTCACTCAATTATGATGAATCATATGAGTGATATCATGATATTCATATGAATAATATGAACAGATGCATTTTACTTGAGGTTGGAAGCAAAGGAATTTGAGTATTGATCTATGAGCAGAAGCTAATATTGTGATGGCTAGTTCCAAGGGTTCACCGACAAAAGCGCACCGACAGAAGCGCGCTCTAAACCTAACCCTAAACCTAACCCTAAACCTAACCCTAAACCAAACCCTAAACCTAACCCTGACCCTAACCCTGACCCTAACCCTTACCTTAACTTAAATCGCGCTTCTGTCGGTGCGCTGTTGTCGGCGCACTGTTGTGGGAACATTGATGATGTTGTGGGTTTTGCGCTGCGGATTTGTTGGCGCGCTTTTGTCGTGCGCGCATTTGTTGAGTTCCAAGGCTGATTCAAATTCCCCCTGAATTAGTTGGATTGAAGAAGACCCAAATATTATGATAACTAGCTGGATACCCATGTTTCACAACAAAACTATGTGATTGGGCAATGCAGGAGAAATCTGGTTCACTCCGTTGGCTCAGTGGTGGTTGCTGATTGAAACACATAAGGGAATATCGCTCTTGCCGCCTTGAGTCCGGAAGCAGTTCCATATGTGGAAGGCATAGACATTTTCATGAGGTACCGACGTTTAGTACTGTAAGGAGCCCCAGACTGCTCCTGAGTGAAGGACTGGGACGTCTGCCAGTTTGAACTGAGGTAACGGAATGTGAGGCAACTGGCAGGTGGAACAGAGTTATTTTCAGATGGGGAGGGGGAGTAGAATGTCTAATTCCTTATCATCAGAGCGTGTTAATTACTGTATACAAAATACTGATGATCTGATGGTCATTTCAAAAAATCCTTTCTTAGCAAGCACCTAGAAGCCAAGAGGAACATACATGCCAAATTTCAAGTTTGTAGGCTTTATGGTCCCCCCCGTCCCAACGATATGTTTTGTGGATTTTGAGCCTGACAAATAGACAAAGGATACAGATCTAGATTAGTTAATATTTGTAAAGCTGCTTTAGAAAGTGGGGTTTTAATCGCCATTCAGGCTACAGATGTGAGTCTCACAAGGAGCTGTCCAATGCTCCAGCCGCCCTCCACATTAATGTAATGTCTCTGGTCATATAAGTGGCTCTAAAGTTTGTGATGAATTGAATATTACTAAGATCTGGAGAGAGGCTGAGCGGCTGAATTAACCATTTAACTTTCCCCAAAATTGAGAACGTGCCTTATTGGCATTTCCAATCATAAGA